CAGTACACAATTCCTGGGCGCCTCGCCGAATGGCAGACGACGGCTCGTTTGCAGGCCGTGATGGGAGTTCGTCTGTTTGTGAATCCCATACGCGTTCTTCCGGGAATTTCACTTGCAGCGTAAGGCGCGCTTCTGTTTTTTTTCCCTGCTTAAGGCTGCAGTTAGGGCGCCAGACTAGGTCCGACAGGGTTTCTGTTGGTTGTTAGGCGCAGCAGTTGGTTTCTGCCATCTTCCTACCTTGTGCGAGCGATTTCCAAGCACTGTCAAGAAAGAGCAAGCAGAGTCATCCCAGATCTGGGCCTGCAGCTGCCTTCTCCTGCCCTCCTTACTCCTGTCACTTTGCAATGTCAACATACAACAGCAACCGCTGATGCTTTCGAGAGACACGGCGTGCCAGCAGCAGCAGCAGCAGCAGGAACGACAACCGTCTATTTCGAGTGACGCACGGCCGTCAACTGCTTCAAGTGCTGCTACAGTAAGCACAGGTTGTTGCTCTTTGTTTGCTGTGTTCATTATCGGATGACCTGTGACTTGCCGAGCCACTCGCACCGGCTCGTGGACAGAATCTTTTACGACAGGAGTATTAAAATGCGTGATTTTGCGTGTGGGGATATGCTTCTATCACGCATTTACTGGCTCGCAAGCAGAGAAGCTGAAGGCCTCACTTGGATTATCAATTTTACACGCGTGTTAATTCGCTTCACAATTACCTGATCTTTCATTTTTCATGTTCTTTCATTCATATTTGTTCCTGTAATGCATTTATTTAGCGTGCATTGCATGAATGAAAGATAATAAAAATAAAGATTGAAAAATAATAATAAAAATTAATGAACGATAAAAGAAATGGGCCCCAGTGCCCTACGCGCCCTCGGTCCGATTTATGGCGGCGGAACGGCAACTAAAGGGCGAGGGAAATTCAGGTGCCAAACGGATGCCACCGTGGGGTGTCCTGCTAGGAAATTCAGGTGTTAAATGGATGCTACCACGGGTTGGCCTGGACCTCTCGGTATGCACCTAAAATTGCACATTGCTGTTGAGGGATGAATTCATGAACCATCTTCAAAATTGGCTGAAAACGCCTCCTTTGAAACATTTCTGTCGACGTCACTGAAACTGTGTTGCGGTATGCTTGGAAGTGAGCAAAGTAAAGTGCGCTTTTGATATTCAGAATCAGCACTTCCACCAGAAGCAGAAGCAACTGCTACAATAGCCGCTCATCCATTCAGCAGTTTCATCGATGCACTTGTTGGTGCTTTCGCTGTAAGTTTGAACTGAGTTGAACATTCTTCTATTCTACATTAATTAACTGATCATGCGGCCATCCCTGCAACATGGGCTGATAACCCAAGTACATTATCATGAGGGTGTGGAAGCAGTATGCGAAGTAATAGGCAGCACTGTGGGGAAGTTGCCGGCTGTAGGGGCTGCACTTGGTCAAAGTATCGAAAGCAAAATTTTTCCTCGCTGCACTCACTTCACTGCTTCGAGCAAATGCTGCATTTCTTGCCACCGGTGCAGTCGGCAGCGTCATTCTTTAAGCTCACCACACTCTATAAATAACTTTGTGCAGTCCATAGGCGGATTCAGGGGG